AGACTGATCAGAACTATGTATCAGGCATCATATATCAAAGCAAAACCAATACAAGAGTGTTTTAATTAGAAGAAGAATAAGAAAGACAAGTGAAAAAATGTAAATACAAGAACAAGTCTGCTCAAGAAATTATTGATAGAGTATTATTTCCTGTTCTTAATGAAATCTTCCTGTACATAATTTGTTCTAACACATACATAATTTGTTCTAACATGTACATAATTTATTCTAACACTTCATCAGAAGACATTAATACATTTAAGCTCACTTCTTTCCCTTAGTCTTACCTACAGAGCACGTACTCACCATTTTAAGCAGAGGCATAGAGGTGAGATTAAGAAGAACAGGTTTTTCCTTCCCCTTTTACAGGATTTTTTGGAAGCTGTCTGGTATTCCTTTGAAGACCACAGCAGTAGTTTATGTACTGGATGCTTATCACTGGTATGGAGGGTGAAACACTAACTGTACACCAAACTCCCTACCCTCTTAAAATATTAATCCATAAGTAACCATCTATGCAGCCTCATAAAGTATTAACTCTTTAACTGGGGAAGATCTCTGCTGAACAGCATAGCACAAATCCTACATGATTAAAGCCCACACAATCCTATTAAAATCCAAAGAGTTCCAAGCTGTTTACGTTAGTTCAGTATCTAATATTAACACTTGGGTTTGAAACCTCATGTAAGCTCCATTGCTTTGTTAGATCAGCAAGTCAGGGGAAAGTAAGCTCAATTTTCTTGACCTATATGGGGATGTACATAAATGAAGTCTAATCTTGGACTTCAATGCTTAATGTTTTTTGTGGCTTGCTGTTCTTCAGCAACTTCCATTTGATGTGCTACACATCACGTACTACACATATATACATGATGTATAGTACATAAAGCGGACATACACATGCACACGTTATGTACTAGGTTAGCTAGCGTTTGCATAATGGTGCTCCATCTCCTGAACTGCCACACCTGAACTTGAAGACGAGGGGTCTGCATTTCCCTGAACACTGGCCACTGGATAGCCCCTGTATGGAAAGTGCAGACTGAGACAGACTCATTTATTTTGTGAAGCACATAGTCCAGACCAACAGCTTGAAGATCAGCAGCGCTGATCGACGCTGCGGGTACTAGTTTAAACACCCCAAATGCTCAGCCCCCCCCTCCAACTTTAAACTGGTAAGGGAATTTTCTAAGATATACTTTCTTGTCTATGAATGCCCTCAGCCATTACTCACAATGCAGCTATAATGGCTTGACTCACACCTAAAGAAATCAGCAGATGGGCTCTTTCCTTTCCATATGAAAAGGTCAGTTAGATATAAGAAGAATAAACCTAGCAGAATTATGTGCCAAACTACATTAAAACATAAAGAAACACTGCCAGGTGTAGGAATCTTTTCTTTAGAAAGATATTCCTTCAAATCCCAGTTTTCTTTACTGAATTCCAAGGAATCTTTACGTAAGATACACATCAGAAACCTGATCTCTGACCGTTGCCACTAGAATGCTGCTTATGTTGCTAAGTTAGCAGCTGTACAAGCGTGCAGTGTGTCTGTAATTGCTGCCACCAAGAAGAAACTTCCCATCAGGATTCCTCCTTGACTTGTAAACCTACAAAAGTCTTTGGCAAACTGGCAATTTGCCTTCTTGGAAGCCAAAGAGGTGGGAGCCACAACTACAAATATATGAATGTAGTAAACGTAGCAATTACATGTGTTTGCATGGTACCCTCATGAAGGTATTCTCCTAGTAACCTTTAAGTATCCACTCAAGTCATACTTAAGCGTGAAGGAAATGTTTTCAAGAGCCAATAATTTAATAAATTAGCAACATTCTTAACCATTCAAGCTTTGGGGTTTTTAGCACAGTAGCAGTACATAGGCTGGATCAGCTACAGCGTGTTTGCTACCCTTTGGACACCTATTTGAAGTTGTATTAATGACAGAGTACGCTGGAGTTGCTGCGTGTAAAGTACTTGAGGACACGTAACCCAAAAGACACAGTCATGCTCTTTACAAATACATGTACTATGCAGTAAGGCAAACAGGCTTAAAACATGCAAATGGGTTTGCTGTTAGGGCCCAGGGCTTGAAAGCTCATTTGAACTTCCTCATTCTGAGTGGTTATACTGAAGGTGCTAAGATGCTCATGATGAGGAGGACAGTGTAGCCTTTCAACATCTGGGTGCGCTCACCTGATAATATACTCCTAATCCATAGGAAAAGGTGGTGGTGACATATACTTTTGGGACAACAGTGGGAGGCTTTAGTGCTTATTACAGAGAGAGCTGCCTTCCCGTGACAGGGGTGTGTGAGTAACACATGAGAGTCATTCCAAATTTCAACTACTGGGTAGCAGCCTGAAGTTCTGCCTCTCAGACTCACACTAGTCAGGAACTGCAATATCTCCTCCACGTCAGAGCACGGTCTGCAGTGTGGTACTAGAAGGGACCCTGTGCCACACTGCCTATGATTATACAGGACTGGAAGCAAGCTTGCTACGCTAGTTCTACATTAGGTTATCAAAACTGCCTTTCTGCCGAATGCTTTCAAATGCATTTTGAAGGCTGCTATTATCCATGTCGTTTCCACTCCCGTATATGCAGTCGTAATAGTGTTTTGCCACAGAAACAAGTCCCTGTGGGGTAATTAGATACTGCACAAACTGTTCTGCAGTAGCTGCAGCAGATGTGAACTTGTTAACCTGTGCAACAGAGTACCTGAAGAAAGCTTAGCCCTCTGGGAATGCCAGGATAGCTCCCTCAGCAGGGGACACACAGGATAAAAGCTTGCACACAGGCCCTTGGCAAGCACTGGTTTATGCTTTTGTCAGTCTTTAGGTTCTGAAATACATCAATTCTCTTAGCAAAAAAACCAAGCACAACCATCATCTTTACGAAATCACTGAGAATCTTTCCATCCTGCTGTTTGCTAGGACCAAAAAGAGAAAGCTTATCTCATTACCCCAGTGCTCAGAAGGTTCCTCTGACTCCATCTATTGAAATAACCATACAATGTGCTTTCTGATGGGTTTTGCAGCTCTACAATGTAAAAACACAGATTACATGTTTACTAAAAATATCTGTGAGTAACAGCATCCACTGCACAGTCACGGCTCTTGCCCATTCCAGTGTATTGCTTCAAACTGATGATGGTAACGTTCGATTATAAACCATTTTGCAGCTTATTTGCTCTCTGTCCAGATGTGCCTAATTCCTGTTGCCATCCTTGCAAAAGCATGGGTAGATGCACAAGGAGGAGCAGCGAGGAGCTGCAAGGAGGAGCCCTGCGTGCAGCATTTCACTTTCCCTCAGTTTTGGATTCGTGCTGCTTAGTTTCTTTTGGGAACAGCTCTCTGTGACCCAGTGAGAAAGTCCCTCAAAGCACCATTGGAATGAAGTCCCTGGACATGTGAGTGGCACCTTGAGCTCCATAACCACTTGCCCAGCACTGAGTGAGGACCATAGCTAGGAGAACAGGGAGCATCAGGCCCTGTGCACAGCCCAATGCGCATGAGGAGCTGCTCCTGGCAAGTGCAGTGCAGTCTCCAGTTCCTTTTGGGACCTCACGGAGCTTCCAAATGGCCAAATAACAACTCAGCAATTGCAGAGAAGTGGCCTCAGGGGAGACATAGGTACCAACCAACTGGATCCTTTTAGAGCCTGGGGTTGAGCTGATGACCCATTTACTTTTCATTTCCCATTAACCAGGAAGACTACAGCAGCATCCCAGTCCTGCTGCATGCATATAGTTAACAGTGTATATTACTGCTATGCAGAAAGCTCTTTTCTTTTAAAGAGGCTGTTTTACAGAGGGAATACCTCAGCTCTCCTTGGAGTATAGCATCTAATAGAAAAGAAATCATAAACCCCAAAGCCCACGTCAGAACTACCCACACAGACAGATAATTTCAACTCACTCACAGCTATAGCTATAACTGCAGAATAAGGGAGCCGTCTTCCTACGTTAGAACCATGCTGCCACTGCCTTTAAACTCGAGCTGGAACGAACCTTCCCTGTCAAGTGGCTGTTTTGTTCATACACTGCCTCCTAAGGTTCTACCCAGCTCCTAGTGGCAAGGACCTCCCTGTTTTTACGTGTTTACACAGCTCAGAGCATCGCTATGAAGTTCACAGGGAGATCAGTCAGGTGTTATCATAATACCCATCGTAAGTAAGCAGCAGAGGATCAGTAAAAGCACATTATCCAGGTATGTTGAAAAGAACACTCATATAATCAACTAGGTTGGGAAAGACCTTTAAGGCCATCATTATGCATTTTCTCCCTTTACATCTCTATCTTCTAAGTGACATACTGGCAGGCAGAAAACTTTTCATATGCAGGTCATTTAAAGACTCAGAGGCCATGCCATTTGAGCTGGAAGCTGGTTTCCAATAAAGTAAATTGAACCACACTTAAAAATCAATAAGCAGAGGGAAAAGGCTGCAGGAAAAGAAGAAGTTCTCCTCTTTTCACATAAGGATTATTGTGCCCAAACTGTCACGTCCTGCTTCAATGCTGAGTGGTTAAACAGTGAAAGTTCACTGGTGAGTCTGCCAGAGAGGGTAAGGCAGGTGATAACCCCCAAGTCCCCAGGCAAGGTTCTCTTCTCTGAACCTGTGTAATAAATCAAGCTCTCCAATTATGAACAAACCCCTGTAAGTGATCTGATGCTTGGGGTGGGAATAGCTAAAAACATCCATTGACAGCGATCCCCTCCCTGAGCCCCACCGCTCCTTAAAGACCTTACTGCATACAGAGGAATAAACACAAGCAAGCATCTCAAAGGCAGGTATTTTCCCAGTTCAGCCTCCTGAGCTGCCCAGGTGACAGGGAGAATTCAGAAGGAGGAGTGCCAGAGCAGGCACCGCAATCAGAGGTGGCTCGTAGCACTCCAGCGCTGCTCCTGGCACAGGGCTCCGCATCAAAACCAGAGCAAAGCTCTCTTCAAACCAAAGAAAGAGTAAAAACAAAAAGGGAAAAGACCTCATTGTGCGAGTACCTTGGATTCCTGGCTGGTGGTTGATGCTGGAGAGGGGGGCTGCTCTGTGCTCTCCACTTCATTCTCTTTCTCCACACTATCCACGCCGACTTCGGTCATGCCGCTCGGAGGAATCATTTCACCTCTAAATCACTGCTGCTGTGGGGAGGAAAGCCACAGACCTTGCTGGCTTCTTTTCTTGAATGTCCTCTTGCTTCTCTGCTCCTCTAGAGCAAATGAACTCCGGCTGCCAGGCTTCACTACATTTGGGAGACTGGAATTCTCCGGATTTTCTTTCTTTTCCCCCTTCTCCTCCTCCTCCTCCCCCTCTTTCTCCTCTCCCTCCTTCCCCTCCCCTATGCGATTCCGCTGCGAAGGGAATAAGTTATCAACGGCTCCGTAGGTCAGCTCTGTGCCTGCTCCTGTGTTTCCCCTCCCCTCTGTGTGGAGCAGAGTCGTGACCACCAGCCCTGTGATCGGAGCGGAGTGAGCTGAAGCAGAAAGCCCAAGCCACACGCACACACACGCGGGGCACTGGAGGGAGGAGTTGTATTTCCAGCGCTGGGAATAGCTTTAGAGGAGCATGGGCTGTCATAGTAGTGAAAGAAAGTAAGGCTTGCATGCACACACACACACATGCAGGCAGAGCGACAGGCGGTGTGTATGAGCGTTGGAAGCATTTTACCTTTTAACAGGCAGCAGAAGGCAGAGTCTGAAGGGAAGCTTTGTATTCTTACAAGTCTTTTCCTGAAGAAGGGCTCTAGAAACAGAGGAGAAAAATGAGTCTTCCCTTTCCTTGTCCCAGAGAGGATGATTTAAAACCCTAAATAACCCAGTGTCCCTAAAGCTCCCACCTTGCCTTACATTTACCTTACATCCCAAACTTGCTAGCAAGTGATGGGACAGAGCCAGGGGACAGTCACCTGTGGTTCCTTGTGTTCTTTGCTCCCCTCCCAGCCAGGGAAGCCCAGCGCCTAGCCAGACACATGCAATGCGGGTCAGCTGGTGCTCACATCCTATACCTGTGGGTTGTCATAGTGATAACACTCCATCCGGCAGACACTGAGCAGAGGCAGCCATCGGGAAGGGCCCTCTGGCTTTCCCCAGTGCCACCATTCCCAAGGATGCGGCACCCGGAGTCATGCTTGGGGCTGTGGCAGCACCAGTGGAAGGTCAGCACGACTTTGCTGGCTGGCTCCGATTGCTTCCTGTTGCTCGAGGTTTCGCCTGATTTAAATCTGCCGCAACAGCGCCTGTCAGCTCTCTTGCCTGCTGAATTACAGGCTGTATTGGACAAAGCTGAATGGATGTGCTATAGGACCTGTTAGAGCAAATCCGGGGAGGCTACAAAGAAGCTGCAAGGGCTGGAGCACCTCTGCTGTGAGGAAAGGCTGAGCGCTGGGCTTGCTCAGCCTGGAGAAGGCTCCAGGGAGACCTTATAGCAGCTTCCAGTGCCTAAAGGGGCTGACAAGAATTCTGGAGAGGGGTTTGGACAGGTGCCTGTAGGGACAGGACAAGGGGGTACGGCTTTAACCTGCCAGAGGGGAGACTGAGATTAGAGATTAGGAAAAAATTCTTTAAGGGTCTTAGACTGTTCTCTCAAGAGCCAGAGGTATTCTCCAGGTGCAAAGCTCATTTCTTCCACTCAGCAAGTGAGATTTGGGCTTTGCTGTAAAATCAGCCTCTTAGCAATGAGCAGGGACCGGGCAGAGTCCCAGTTGGGAAAATTAGGGCAGCTGTGGGCAGCGGAGATCTTGGCAGAGTGATAACGATGGATGCTCCAACTCTGGCAGTGGTACCCTTCCCTGATGGTCCAGCCTATAGCACAGCCAAGTCAGGGCCAAGGCATGGCGCTCTGCTCCCTGCAAGGAGTATTCCATATGCCCAGCAACGGGGCAGATGAGAAGCACAAAACTCGCTTTGGTCCTGTTCCCCAGCAGTGTTGTGAACCAGTCTTGTTAAGAGCCTCAAAACCCACCTCCTTCTGGTGAACATTTAGGTCACCTTAGAAATAGACCCGGAGTGGCTTGCTAATGGTTAATGCTCTATGTGTTGTAAAAGCCTGCACATGTTTTGTGTGAGGAGGTTGTAGCGTCATGACTGTGTAAATGACTATCATACCACTCGCCACTCTTTTTTTTGGTTGTTTTACCAAATTAGTACTGACACCTGCTGCACTCCCTCTTTTCTCCCAATTACTCACTTGTCAAGCACCACTGATCTGTCAGCTTCTTGACAATTAGCCTGGGGAAGATGAGTCAAACCTCAAATCTTACCAAAAAAGCGAAAGAGACAAGAAACTGGATTTCTTCTGGTTTCATTTCCTTTTCAGAGGCTCTTGCAAATCAGATCTCTTGTAGAACAAAACGGACTGATCAGTTACAACTACATCTGCCTCTCTCTCCCACTCTTCAGTCTTGAGAAGCCGGACTTGTGACTGCTGCCCATCGGTCTCTAAGCAAAGGTACTTGGTGGAAACGTGAGCGCTGCAGCACGGTGCTAAACGAGGAAATGGAACAGATTCTCCAGTGAAGAGACAAACGGAGATCTCTGGAGTGGGGAAATGCAATCTGGATGAATAAAACATGAGAGCCGATGCTCAGCCCCCCGCTGAAGTTGTTGCACCGTGTGAAGGCGCTTGGATGCTGCCTGGAATCCCCTCCGAGCATGGCCTGGCGGGGTGCTCCAGTAATGACTGCATGGGTGCTACACTTTGCCCATCCCTCCTGCTTCCTGGTACAGGCAACAGGGTGACATGCAGAGCACTCCTCTGTGCTAGGGCTCCAGCACTTCTTAAGCTCTGACTGCAGCCTGCACAATAAGAGCATCCCAGAGGATCCCGACACCAGGAATATACACACACTGCTGGAGAGCTCCACAGTGGCAAGATTAAGCTGATGTAGGGAGTTTGGCACATATCATGTTCTTTTGCCTTCTTTTCTTCTTGTATAGGCATTGCTTTGAAATATTTGAGCACCTTACTGTGAAAGAGGTACAGGACTAGAGCTGGATATCACCAAAGGGAAGACATCAAATCAGTGCTTATTAAATGTTATCCTTGTGAATAACACCACTTATAATATCCAGTATCTGAAGGAGGCCTACAAGGATACTAGAGAGGGACTATTCATGAGGGACTGTAGTGGTAGGGCAAGGGGTGATGTATTCAAACTGAAACAAGGGAGATTTAGGCTGAATATAAGGAATAAATTCTTTATTGCGAGAGTAGTGAAGCACTGGAACAGGTTGCCAAGGAAGCTGTGGCTGTCCCATCCCTGGCAGTGTTCAAGGCCAGGTCAGACACAGCTTGGAGCAACCTGCTCCAGAGGAAGGTGTCCCTGCCCATGGCAGGGGACAGGAACTAGGTCTTTTCCAACCCAAACCATTCTGTGATTCCATAATTCCTGGTTAGACCCTCATGGATTTATCGGAGGAAAAACAGAAGTAAAAAGGAGAGAGGGAGCTGTAGGTGTCATCATTCACTGCCTGCTGCATAAACCATCCCCTGCTCCTGAGCATATAGAGGATATAAGAGAGCATATAGAGATGACACTGCCGATAAATGCCTTTGGTTTAAACCACTACGTGCCTCTCTCTAGAAATGCACAAAGCAATGAGGAATCAGGATGGTTGCCACTGAAGCAGGGCCCTCGAAGGAAAGAGGAATTACATTTCCTGAACTGTATCCAATTCCCAAGAGGATGCAGGCTGAGCACCACAGAAAACCGTTGGACACACAAAAAAAGCCTGTAGTTCTGGCACTTGCAGTGAAACTTGGCCAGCCTCTTCCCAAGTTCCTCAGTCCAATTTGTGAGTGTTCCAGGTGAGAAACAGTAGCTCCATTTCTTAGTCAATTCAATTTTGTCTTCGAGGAAACTGGCAACAGGATACCCTTCTAGGGCCATTTGTGATGGGAACTTTACTGTTGGCATCGTGCATTCGGCCAGATGTACATCTTCCCTAGGCTCTCCTCCCAAATACCTGCTGCTGTCCACAGCTGGCTAAGTGACTGCAAAGACCAGACCATTGCTCTCATGGAGTGTCTGCCTGTGTTTCCAAGTAACAGGCTTGTGGGCACTTCTCACCAGCAAACACTGTAGTCACAGAGGAAAGGACACTAAAATAGTGTCAGGTGGCTGGGTTTTTCTTTTTGGTCACACAGCCCATGTTTGCTTTCAGTACCATCCTGACAGCTCATCCAGCAGCTAACGTAGTAACAACCCCCCTTGGATTCTGCTGATCAAAATGCCATCCTAAGGGCTACAGTCACCAGTTCATCGAGCTGGAAGCACAAGCTGGTCAATGCTCTGAAAGCATTCCCAGTACTAATGGAATGCTGTTGGCTTGCAGTTTGACTAAAATGATCTCAAAGCACTTTTTAGGGTTTAAGTGTTAAGCCTCCGACTGCTCCAGGGAGAGATTCTACTGCAGCAAACGAGCAACAGCAGAGGAAGCCAGACCAACAGATTTGTGCTTGTACTTAAGCTGGGAGTAAAATGGAACCTCTGCCTGAGCACTGCTTTCAAAACCTCTCTCCATCCACAGCAATGGCACAGGGAGCAATGCAAAGATCATGCTGCGGCTCGAATCTGTCTTTCAGAGAGATGATGATGAGACTGAAACACCGCTACCCAGATATCTAGGGGAAAGAAGAATGCTGCATCCTCTTCTGATAGCAAGAAACGTTTGAGAAAGGGAGAAGAGGATGTAATTATAAGAGATGGAATTTAGCCAAGATACAGCATGTAATATGTTCAGTCTTACAAAAAGCATTGCAATACCTTTAAATAACCAGCGACAGTCCCGACCTGATTTTACATCTCTGCTGGCAATATGATTCCTTCTCACTTTTTATAGGAATGCGATATAAAAAGAAGAGGCCCATGGAATCAGTATCACCATTTCCTGCAACTCTCAGATGCTCCTAGAGATCCCTGCCGTTTAATAACCACTTACTGACTTGGACCAGTATGACTGTAGCAGGAAAGTCCTGAACCAGTTCATCAGGTTGCTGCAGTGGGGATTTAGCTGTGTATTGCATCCTTTCAGGACATCCATGCTCCAGATATTTATTTAAAGAGATAACAAAGATGTGATAATTAATATAATCTCCTCCACTCTTTCTGGACTCTGCTTTAACCTCACTTGTATTTCCTTGGATAGGAATTAAGACTCTTCCCAATGGCTGTCAGTACCACTCAGAGGGTCTCATACAATCACACCATCTCAGCCAGACACTACTGCTTTTCCTCAGCCTTTTCCAGAGTGGGATGGGAGGAATCCCCCTACACATACACAGGTCAGCACACTG